TGATGAACCGTCTAGCCCGTTCTACCTCCACCATTCTGATAACCCAGGTTTGGTGCTGGTTTCTCAGCCTCTTACAGGTGAGAATTATGGATCATGGAGTCGTGCAATGACAATTGCCCTCACGGTGAAGAATAAAATTTCCTTTGTTGACGGATCCATGGAGAAACCGAATGAATTGAATCCTGAACTGCTGAATTCATGGAATAGAAACAATAACATTGTTATGTCTTGGATCCTCAACTCGGTTTCGAAGGAAATTTCAGCGAGTATCATTTATACCTCTACTGCATTTGAGATTTGGAATGATCTCAAAGAGAGATTTCAGCAGAGTAATGGACCGAGAATTTTTCAATCAAGGAAGGAGCTAATGAATTTGGCTCAAGATCAAAATTCAATCAGCGTCTATTTTACTAAATTGAAGACTGTCTGGGAAGAATTGATTAATTTCAGACCCAAATGCAATTGTGGAAAGTGTACATGTGGGGGAGTTAAAGAAATGAACAAATATCACCAACTAGAATACATCATGTCTTTCCTTATGGGACTAAATGAGTCCTTTTCTCAGGCTAGGGGACAGATTCTGTTGATGGATCCCATGCCACCTATTAACAAGGTCTTTTCACTTATGGTTCAAGAGGAAAACCAACGCAAGATCAATGCACAGACGTTAATCAGTGAGAATATGTCAGTTGGTGCTTCTGCAGCTTTTTCTATTAGATCTGATGTTGCCAAACCAGTGATGAATTATGGTTCTCGCTATGATGGATTTCGATCTGGGAAGGTAGGAAGTTTTGGCTCTCGTTATGATGGATCTAGATCTGGAACTGATGGTTCTCGCTATGATGGACCTCGACCTGGAAATGTAGCTAACTTCAGGAGAGGAGATAAGCCCTATTGCACTCATTGTAAATTTCATGGACACTCAGTGGATAAATGCTATAAAATACATGGATATCCTCCAAGTTTCAAGCCAAGGAGGGAAACTTTTCAAGGTTATTCTGCCAATAACCATGTCAATCAATTATGCACCAATCAACAGATGGAACAACCTGGCGTTGGGAATTTCATACAGAATTTAAACTCAGTTCAATACCAGCAACTAATGAGCATGCTGTCAAACCATTTGACTTCAGACTCCAATGCTACTTCCACAGATCTGAACAAACAGCAAACTACTGAAACCACAGGTATTTGTCATTCCATCTCTGTTGATCCTGTTTTTACCACTGAGGGAGTTTGGATTGTAGATTCAGGAGCAACCAAACATGTATGTTGTAATGCTGGGGCTTTTGTTACCATGAGATCTGTTGAACATACCTACATAACTCTGCCAAATCACACCAAAATAAATGTCACTCAGTGTGGTGAAATTCAGC